TATTATATATATATATATATTTAAATTGTGCGCCCTATTTTTTAGTACATACATCTAAACTTTCATTATTATTAGAATTGTAGAAAAAATATTAAAATTCATATAGTGATATGCATTTTGAACCTCATGATAAAGATCTACTAGTTGGAATTCCACCTATATTATTATTCATTATAAAATTTGGAGGCGCATTTTAATTGGATTGTTTAAGGTTGTAATCTTATAGAAACCACATCCTACTTTAAATAGTAGTAATTGGTTAAACATAAGGAAACTTGGAATTTTTTTTTGGTTGTTTTTCAAATCTTGAAATATTAATGACAAATTATCAAATTAGTGGCATGGAAAAAATGACATATGAAGAGTTTTTAAATACGCACACGTAAACATAGATTGATAGATGTGATTGAAGAAATAAATTTAATGTTTAATTAATGAAGTTTTTAGATCTAAATTTGAAATAAAATTTCTAAATAAGTATATCATGAAAAAAGGTTTTCCCACTACAATTGCTAAAGAGAAGATGCCATTGTACTCATCTTGGTATGGTGCGGTGTACACACACTTGAGCATCCACTGCCTGTTCTCAAGATGAACACGATGGAGATAAAATTATTCTTATCATAATGGACATGGTGATTTGGTTCTCTAAGAGCGCTGGTTCATCTCCACCGTCCGCTGAGAATAGGCCATGGATTCCATGCTTGTGTTGACGTACTCTCCATAGAGGATTTACATGTTATTTTTTCCAAAAGAAATGTATACGAGGAGACCATTTATTTTTAATGCAAGAAGATCACAATCATCACTGACTATTAGATTTGAAATTGGGTGGTTGAAGATGTGTCATTCTTTTGGCACAAAGTCCAAAACAACTTTTCTCGAATATTGTGACCTACCTACATTCATTGGATTTCACATTCAATGGCTAAAAATGATTGTAACCTCATTGTACAGTACAAAAAAATAAATGGCCTTATAGTATACAATCGTTTTTCTAAAATAGTATCCTAATTGCCACCATCATTTCAAAGTTTCTTTGTGGAAATGCAAACTTATGCAGTGAAAATGTTACTTTGAAGCTTATTATTACTATTATTATCAGTAACACTAGTAGCAGTAGCATTCTTATTATGATATGTTGGATGGGATTTGAAGTTTGAGTAATGATTTATTACTTCACGTAGAATAGGCATATAAGGATGAGGTATGGATGCGAATCTCGGCTGATTTTTGATCGTTGGATGAATCTTGACCATCCAATTACATGGACCACATTAGGTTGTAAGTAATGTTCCTGTAGCTGATCGATTAGCCAAATATAGAAGTTACTTGTCCGCTTTGTCTGTTTCCAATGTCTTGATTCCTAATTTCTAATATGATGTTTTTACAACATCCTATCAATAAAAGTTACGAACGTTGTCAAAAAAAACAAAAAAGGAAAGGAAAAGATGTTCCTCATTTTCCTACAATGATATCCCTTAAGGAACAATTTCACCTTTTCAGATGAAAAAGACCAAGAATTAAGTACCTTCATGAAGGTAAAAAACAGGAAATTTTAGAAAACTCTCTCTCGCTCTCTCTCTCTCTCTCTCTCTCTAAAAGCTAATAGGATGGTGGATCATTCAACAATTCTTAGCTGATCCTCATATTTGCCTCCCACTTAAAACTTTGTAGACGTCCATCTGATGTGGATGAGGATAATTTGGAAACGCACAAACTTATTACTTCCTGTTGCTCTACACGTCTATCTTTTGTTCTTCTTGGAACTTAGTCTTTTGCTATCCAAACTGATGGTTGAGGTTCAAGAACCTGTCCTTCACTTTAACCTATTCTATATACATAATAATAGGTTATAAGCAAAGTAGGGGTGGGCCGGACCTGGCCGCCACTAGCCCTAGCCGGCACTAGTCCCCATAGGGCTGGCTTAGGACTGGCCCAGTCCTAACCAGGCCAAAAATGCCTTAGCCTAAACCCAGCCCTAGCCCTATCAAAGCCAGGCTGGGCCAAATAAAATCTTAAAGAAGTGAAAGAACAAAATATTAAAAAAGAAGACCGGGCCAACTTTGGCTCAAGCACGGCTTAGCCATCCCTAAGGCTGTGGTTAGCCAGCTTTGGCATGGCCCTCAGGCCAAATTTTGTGGCCCAGGCCTAGTTTTCTTAGGGCCAAACTAACAAAGCCAGGCCGGGCCATTGCCACCCCTAAAGCAAAGGCAAGGTGTGGCATTGATATTTTCTACCTAAACCCTAACATACACTAACACTGAGCATTCATTAAAAAATAGTGAATGGTAAACCCTATTGGCGTAAAATATTTAAAACCTAATTCTAGATCCTTCCTTAGTGGGTTTCCTCAAAAGTGGTAATCCCATTATGGCTTGGAGTAACATTTTTTAAGGGTTTTTATGTCCCTAAGAAAATGACATCCATTGGTGACATCCCCGTCTCCCACTGACTTATCTTACAGTCTTTGGTGCATATCATCCTTTTCTTACTTTTTTGGTAAATTAGGTCATGACTAAACACTCTAAATTTAAAAGTCCAAGTGGCTTAGAGCTTATGCATTTATAATCTTTCACCAAATGAAAATAGTGCTTATCTCACTTATTTTAATGCATCAAGGGGTTGAGATTAAAGGCTTCATTTAACATTGTGAAAGGCCAACCCAACTATCAATAAGTGCTCATGAACCACCCCAACCATTTGACATCGGAATCCAACATATGGATCTACTTTAGTATTATTTGGTAGCTCCAAATCATTATTTGTCTCCACTTATCGGGAATTAAAGTATTAAGTTTCGACATTTTCAATAATTGATAGGAGTTTGTATATTTTATTGATGGCGAACACGTTACATGCTATTATGCTCCCACTGGTGCATGCTATCTGACTCGAAGAAAATAATGTCCTTAGACTGAATGAAGACTGTCCAATTTTTTTAGTATTTAGATCTAAGTCTTTAGAAACTCAAAATTCAATTT